TTTTTTTCTTATTTGGATTGATCTTCTATTTTTATGATTTTTTTTCCTATATACCACCTGATTTATCTTTAAATTTTTATTTTTCATGGTTGGAGGGTTTTCAGATTTTTATTTTTGCATTTCTTCCAAAATTACTATTGAGTTTGGGTTTTTCATTTCTTTTATCACACTTTTGGCTTGCAGGATGTGGTACACTTTGTCTTGCCTCCATGCAGTAACATCTATCTCTCTTTCCCTTCCAAATTTAGAGTTAAAAGAAACATAGGTGCAGAAATCAGATGGAGAATATGAAAATGACCTGTTTATTATTACTTAAATGGATTGGAGAATGTGGATTTAGATCTGATGCCAAAAGGGCCTGCTTACTAGTACTTCCTCCCCAAATTAGGCAGAGACATCTACCAAATCACAGCCAGTGCCTTGAAGCTATAACTTCCCCCTTCAGGAGCAGTAACCCATAAAGGATACTCTCTGTTAGTAGACACATCTCAAAGGGGAAGAAAGAGGACAGGGCCTGGAGCGCCCAGTATCTTCTTTCAGACTCACCAAACATACAATCTCTCCTTTTCCTCTTGCTGGGAAACGTTACTGATGCTGGTGGGTAGTATATTTCTCTGGAATTTTCTAGGTACTTCTCATACTTCTTGCATACTTTCCAAATCTGTTTATGCCACTTGTGCTTATTACTTAATTTAATTAGTTATTGTATAAACTGATTAGACATGAATAGGAAGAGAAAGCTATTTCAATGAAAACTATTTAAAACCTTTTGATAAACTGTATAAAGACAAGTTGCTAAAAATACTTGCTGTTTACTTAGGCATGAATAAGACAACTGAAGGAGATCAGAGAGCATCATACAAATTTGGGATTCTGCATTCTGACTGCTTTGCTAGAGTCATTAAATACTTGCTTCAACTTGCACTGAAACTTGATGATAGTGTATGTTATGGATTTGTTTTATTCAAGAAAGACAGTGAGCTGCCCATGAACTTGGGAATTAGGGGTTCCTTTTGAGAGTAAATCACAAGATTAACACAAAATGGTAAGATTGAAAATAATCAAAGTCTGCATAGTTAGATAAATGCTGTGTTATAACACTTTTGCTCAGACTCAGTGGGTACTAACATTTAAAGAGAGAATGTGCCCCTCAGAAGGCTTGGGGTAGTGTTGATGGGGAGAGAGGAGGAGATGGGCCAGGAGTTTAAAGATAGAAGAAGCCACATAAGCCAGTGTTGGGCAGAACACACCCATGACCTGGGGAAGCATGTGCTCTGGCCCTGAGGCATAGTCTGTTCAGTCCTAGGCAAGTGTAGCTCTTATGTGGGTGTTTAAGGTTATCAGTGGCTGATGCCTTTGGATGCCTGAATCCTTCAAATTGATTCTGATTCCATCCTCACTGGCATCTTACTGCTCATCATTTGCCCCCCACCCCCACCCCGTTGGCATGCCCAAGGTCCAGGGCAAGTTGACCCAAATATATTCATGGCCATTCTGGTCTCCATGAAATTTAAGTAATCTGCAGCCATAAATATCTGATGTAGGTTATTGGAAATCTGCCCCTAAGCAACTACTTTACTCTCTATGTAATGGCAGAATCAGGTTTTGCACATGGGAACTGAGAAATACACCCTAGACTACAAGCAGTTGATTAAAAAATGATAAGGACTGTCTAGTAGGCAGCCAGATAGAGCTTTCTGGCTCCTTTCTGGAGACACTTACTCCTGGAGTCCATATTCTTCAAACTTGTCTGGCCTTACCTCCTAGCTGGCTATTTTGTGGGACATCTTGACTGTTTTTTTTTTTTTTTTTTAAGTGAAAGGGCCAGATTTGAATGAGAGCTACAACAAGGTTCTTTCATAATGATAATTAGGAGTTTCTTTGAGAGCTTTCCCACTGAGATATCATGACATTTGTTTATCCTAAATGCATATAACAGTATTTCCAAGCATAAGCAATACCTGCTCCCATCGTTATAGGTCTATTAGCAGTTTTACACTGTTTTAAAAACTTGTTCTCTAAAGCTTTTATCCCATGCACGGAGCCCTTTTGTAATACGAAATGACAGAATCAAGACCTAACCCTCTTGAGTTCATTTGCAGTAAACGAAATATCAGCAAGAGCCCAGCCCTCCATGCAGGTTGCCAAAGCTGCTCAGGCATAGCCTTTCAGCACCCCTGTTTTTACCAAGCACATAAACATCTTGGAGGTCTGGCATGCATCGTGATAACATGGTTTACAAAACCCAGGTCTCTGTGGGTCTCTTCTCTGCACAGTGTGTATGCATCAAATACATGGTTGCGGAGTCTGGGGACCATCAGTAGTGACCAAATTGGACAACAGCCAAGTCCTCACCTTTACTTCAGCTGGTGTCCCTCTTAGGTGTCAGGCAACAATCATCTGGAGCTGCTTAAAGCCTCTCAAATCCCATAGCGTGGCTTTAAACTGAGAGGACATGAAAAGGGAACATGGGAATCTTGTTAACTATTTCCTCTGTGTTGAGACAACCTGAAAATGATGTTTTAAAATGCAGACAGTAAAATGTGTATGGAACTCACTGCATCTTCTGATATGCCAGAAAAATGTTCTTTCTATAGCCACTGAGTTTGCTTTTTAAGGGAAATGCATTTGCCATGCTATTAAGTATGAAAAGCAGTTAGTACTCTGTCTTAGTTTATAATGGGAAAATCTAGTGATTTACTTAATGTATTACTTAGGAAAAAAACCTTTCATTTTGAAATACTAGAATTGAACCCAGAGCCTTGCACATACTGGTAAGGCAAGCACTCTGCCATGGAGCTACATCCCCATCCCTTTTTAAAATTTAATTTTGAGACAGGTCTCACTGAATTATTCAGGCTGGCCTTGAACTTGTGATCCTCCTATCTCAGCTTCTGGAGTGACTGGGATTACAGGTGTGTACTACCATGCTTAATGGAAAAATCCCTTTATTTTGAAATAGTTGTGCACTTTTGGAAAATCTAAAGAACCTTTATACAGCATTCTCCCAGATTTTCACCAATTGTAAATATTAACATTTTGCTTTTTCAATACAAATCTGTTCCCTCCCTTACCTTCCTCTTTTCTGTTTACACACACACACACACACACACACAGATAATACGTATTTTTATAAGTACAGGATTGTTTTTCCTCTTCTTCCTCCCTTTTTGTAGACCTCCCTCCTCCTCCTCCTCTGCTTTCCAGTACTGGGGATAGAATTCAGGTCCTCACACTTGCTAGGGAAGTGCCCTACTGTTGAGTTAAATCCCCAGCCCACAATCATTGTTTCTTTTGATTTTTCCCCCAGGGCCAAGGACTGAACTCAGGGCTTTGTGCATGCGAGGCACTTTGCCACTGAGCTACATCCCCAACCCCATCATTGTTTCTTTACTCCTAAACATTTAAGGGTATGTTTCCTAAGAATAAGGAGGAGTCATGAAAAGTGATAATGCAGTTCTATTATCTAGTTCACAGGAGTTACTCAAATTTCACCACCTGTTTAAACAATGCCCCCCCCCCTTTTTTACATATATATACTTAAGGTCCAGAGTCCAATTAAGTATCATACATTGCCATGTTTTATATTGTGAGTCGCCCAGCTCCAAAGACTAACTTCCTCATCCCCCAAGAAGAGCCGTCCAATGGTGAACCCTGTTGGCTCACATGACCCTTACCCACCAGACTAGCCCTGCTGACTCACATGATCCTTACCCACCAATCAGACTAGCCCTGCTGGCTCACATGATCCTTACCCACCAATCAGAAAGCACCCCATGCCAACTGTCAAATTATTCAACCATTAAACTGTCATAACTGTCAAACCACCTCTGGCTCTATAAATATGCAGAGCTGTACCTCAATAAATGGGCATTTTCTCCGACAATGAGCCTTGTTCGTTCTTTCATTTTTCTAAGTCTCTTCCAGTCAAGAATGTGTCCTCAACCTGTCTTTGTTTTTCATGAAGTTGACCATTTTAAAGAGCCCAGGTCAGTTATTCCACAGTCTGTCCCCAGCTGGGTTTGCGGCTGCATCCTCTTGACAAGGTGCTGGTTGCCTACCGGCTGTGTTCTGTCAGGAGGCTGGTGAGCCTTCTTTTCCTCAGTTGGTGATGTTGTCTCACTTGTTTATGGTGGTTTCTGCTAGGTCCCCCTCAATAAAGTTACTATGTTTTTGATTTTTAAATACAACCTTATTTTATGGGAAGACTAGAAAACACTAAAGATTATGATTGCAAATCTTTGATTTAGAAAAATTTCATTTATTCACCTATAAAAGTTTATCAAGTATTTATTACAGAAGCTGGGCATGCATAAATGGATACATTTTAATTCAACAAATATTACACTATTTTCTATAACGGTGTTAGCATCAAAGGGATAAATATTAAGTGAAATAATTTAAATGATTTATTGTTCCTTTAATTTGAAGGTACAAATATTAAGAAAATATAAAGAAGCATTCCTCCTTATAATTTCTTTCAGTGATTTTATTAATTTCCATAAAGTTACCATTTTTCCCTTTGTGATTATAGTAGTCTCCTCCTTATCTGTGGTTTTGCTGTCTGAGGTTTTAGTTACCTGTATTGAATTGTGGTCTGCAAATATTAAATGAAAAATTCTAAAAATAAACAATTCAAGGGGTTTTAAACACTTTTGTTATAGTATATTATTATAATTGTTCTATTTTATTATTAGTTGTTGTTGTTAGTCTCTTACTTTGCCTAATTTACAAATTAAGCTCTATCATAGGTATTTGCTTATAGGAAGAAATATGGTATATATAGGGGTTGGCATCATCCACAGTTCCAGGCATCTGGTGGGTCCTTGGAACATTTCCCCTGCAGAGAAGGGGAACTACTGTAGAAAGTACCTTATGTGAGGAGATGCTTCAGGACCCTTTAACTACCCTGTCCCATGTCCAGCACTCCAGACTGGTTTTGCATGCTTACTGTCTGCTGTGTTGGGTGTCTCACATTTGTTGTTTGTTTCTCTCCCCAGTGGTGATCATGTGTGCGAGCGGTGACACCATCCGGAATATCATGCTGGCAGCACACAGACATGGCATGACCAGTGGAGACTACGCTTTCTTCAACATTGAACTCTTCAACAGTTCTTCCTATGGTAACTCCACTTCCAGCTTCCTCCATGGTGCCAATAATGTTACTATGCCAAGGTGTCAAAGAGGGGTTGGAAGGAAAAGTCAGACATTTGAGTTATGCCCATAGATGTGATTTATGTAAATATGATTTTGGAAATTTGTGATTTGGAACACTTCTATAGCATATCATAAATTCTCAAGCTTTTCTTCTCAAAGAACTCAATGAGAGCAAAATTAAACAGTGTACCTGTGGTGTCAGGGGGTCAGCATAGCTCACTCTCAAACTCCAAATGATCATAAATGCAGCCCCAAACACCCATTGCCCAATACTTTTCCAATTGCAGGTTGCTGCTGTGATGATGGACTATCAGAATAATTTTAGTGAAATTTGGGTAGAAGTTAAATTGAATAAATGCATTGGAACATAACATAATAGAATAGAACAAGGTGTATCACACAGTATATGTATTGCTTCATAAAACTCTTATTTTAGTACTGTAAATGTGTGTGCTTATATTTATGCACATAAGCTTGTAATAGGTCACAATGGGAAATAAAGTAACAGTTACTGAACATTGAAGTAAAAATGTGAAAGCCACTGCTCCAAGCCCCTCTTTCTTCCAAGTTACTACTCTTTAAACCTCTCCTATGTGGAATTTTGGGAGTCATCAACATAGAGAGTTGAAAACATTTAATTCCTTATAATGGATCCGGGCAATTCCCAGGGTCCATGTGATGAGGCTGTTTACACCCATGATCACCGGTGTATTTCCTGCTCCCTCCCACCCCCCAGATGTGGTAAGGCTCTCGGAAATAGATATGAAGGCTACCAAGTATTTTCTCAAATCTGAACACTGGCTGCTCAAAGCTGAGAAGTTCTGGGAGAATAGTAAGTGTGCAGATCACATATGGCATGTTTATATTGAGCTCTACTTTTGAATTCTTGCTGATGATATGTGATTAGACAGGATCTAAACCTTAAAACATACACCCTAGTTTCCTGCCTTGCTGTCCTGGCTTACTTAAGCAGTAGATCATTGTGTATATATAGATACTATAACACATTTCTCATGGGGATAAAGAAAAGTCGATGAAACAAAAGTAGACACTGTTTTCTGTCATGGATAAAACAGGAGATTTAAGGCTTGCAAGATCAACTTGCTATCTTGCCCTCATTCCTGCCAGGATGATCTTTTCCTTTCTTCTTTCCGAAAATGGAGTGTTGCTTTCAATTCTTGACCTAACATCAGAATGTCTTACATTATTGGTTGCAGCCTTGAGTTTTTAAATTTTTTTTTAGTTGTAGATAGACACAATATCTTTATTTTCAGTGGTGCTGAGGATGGAACCCAGTGCCTCACACATGGAAGGCAAGCACTCTTCCACTGAGCTACAGTCCCAGCCCCTATCTTTGAGTTTTTTGACACTGTGGTTGAAGCTGATGAAAATGAAAAGCATTTATTCTAAGTTTTGCAAGGTGGCCACTGGCAAATATAGAATTTAGAGGCAATGCATATTAATGCATATGGGTGCACATTATATATGAAGAGGTGCACTTACAATGCACATTCACATACATTGTGCATTTAGTACTTAATGCAACATGATGCTGGAGTTCCTTTCAACTACAGATAAGACTGTATTATTTTTCCCTGCTAATTGTAATACATAAGTATTGTAGAAAATTTGGAAAACATAGGAAAAACACAGGGAAGAAGACATAGTTATAATTATACCACTTAGATAAAAGTACATTGTAATTTTTAGAAGTATGCACACCCTGCTTTATAAACACACACACATATACATATACATTTATTTTATAAAATATTTTTTAATAAAATGATTATATCACTAACAGTATGGCTACATAATATTTTATAATATTGACATGCTTTCTTTAATCAGTCTTATTTTTCAATATTTATGTTATTTCTAGCTTTTTGCTGTTGAGAACTGTTCCACATTGAGTACTTTGTGTGCACACATGCATTCACTCACATATTTATGTGTATATATTTTCTGTAAGAGAAATTTCTGTAAAAACTGCTGACTCAAAAGTTATATGCATTTAAGTTTTGACAAGTATTGCTCAGTTGTCCTGTGAAGAGGTTTACCAGTTTATATTTTTGCATACAGAAGTATGAGATTATCTGTTTTTATTATTCTTGTCAACATTGTATAATCTTTCTTTCAAATTATTTTATTTATTTGAATTTCTTAGTATATTCATAAGCAAAGATATGCAGTTTTCTTTTTTCAACATAAATATTTTAAATAATTTTAAATTTTAATAATATAAAGTTAATAATTTTAATGTGAACAGTTTTGTGACTCTTACTACATTGATGCTGTGGTTCAACTACCACCTTTTAATATTTTTTAAAACAATATTAATTTAAATCAAATGAATTAACATTTGTCATATTATGTTATTTTTATGGTGATACTTTTGAAACTTACTCTTAGTTATTTTTGAAACGTGTTTCCCTCTATGACACTTTTGTTGAGTTTATTTTTGGGTATTTTATAGTTGTGGTGGTTCTTATAATCATGATCTTTTCTGTTACATTTTGTACTATAGTTATATAGAAAAACCTATGAGTTCTTATTAATTTTTTAAGAATTCTGCTAATTGAATCCTGTGTTCTAATTGCTTCTGTGTCATTATCACATTACAGTAGCAGCATTTCCTCTTTTAATAGTCGAACATCTTTTTTCTTATTGGCAAGATCCTAAAAAGTGATATTATATAACAGTGGTAATACTTAAGTTTCTGACCTCTTGTCTTGAAGTAGATGTTAAAGTATTCTTTTATACTTTAAAGTATGTGAATTGTGGGCTGAGGTTGTGGCTCAGCAGTGGAGCGCTTGCCTAGCACGTGCAAGGCCCTGGGTTCGATCTCAGCCCCACATAAAAATAAATAAAATAAAGGTATTGTCCAACTACAACTAAAAAATGAATATATTTTTTAAAAAGTATGTGACTTGTGATTTTAAAAATAAGGGTTGAATGTTGATTTTATCAAATGCTTTTGCCCCATATTTTTAGTAAATTTCATAATAGTGAGGTATCATAACATTCTTGGAAGTAAGTGTACTGCATTATGATGGTATTTTGAGATGTATTACTGAATTTAAGGTTTTAGTATTTTATTTGGATTTTGAATTTGTATTCATGGGTGAGGTTAGATAGTAGTTTTCTTCCTTAAGGTGATATTGCTAGATTTGAATGTGAGGTTTGCACTAACTTTATAGAACTAATTTGGACACGTTCTCATTTCAAATGCTCTGGAACAGTAAATATGTACCATAGGTACATCCCTTGAAATATGAAAACAATTCAACTCTGTATTTGGAATTCATTTCTGCTAGAGGTAATTGTTGGACAACTTTTTACAAAAATCTTTTTATTTTAGAATGATTTTAAACTTATAAAAAACTTGCAAAAATAATATAGAGAGTTCATGTATATGTTTTACCAAACTTCCTCTAATGTTAATAACTAAACCAGTTATCAACTAAGACAATTTACATTTTTAGAGTACTACTAACTAAACTTCAGGCTGTATTTGAAATTTACCACCTTTCTTCCTAATGTTCATGTTATGTTGCATAATCTGATCTAGTGACATAGCTGGGTCATATGGTGGTCCCATGCCCAGTCTTTTGAGAAACCTGATTTTTGCTGTAGTTGTACTAATTTACAATTCTACCAACAGTGTTCCTTTTTTCTTCACATCCTCTTCAGCATTTATTATTGTTTGTATTCTTGATGGCTGCCATTCTGATTGGAACATTGAAAACTCAGTGTAGTTTTTGATTTGTAGTTCCCTACTTTCTATTGCTGTTGAATATTTTTTTCATATATTTGTTGGCCATTTGAATTTCTTCTTTTGAGAAGTATCTGTTTAGTCTATTTCCCATTTACTTATCGGTTTATTTATTTATTTATTGTGGTGTTCAGTTTTTTGAGTTCTTTATATATTCTGGATATTAATCCTCTGTCAGAAGAACAGTTAGCATTTTTCTCCCATTCTTAATTGTTTCCTTTACTCTGAGGGGGTTTTAAATTTGATGCCATCCCATTTATTAATTCTTGGCATTGTTTCTTGAACCTTAGTATTCCTCTTGAGAAAATTATTGCTTATGCCTATGTGTTGAGTGTTAATCTTACATTTTCTTCTAGAAATTACATAGTTTCTGGGCTAATTCCTAGCTCTTGATTCATTTTGAATTGGCTTTTGTGCAGAGTGAGAGATAAGGAAATAGACTCATTCTTCTACATATGGATAACCATTTTTTTTCCAGCACCATGTGTTAAAAAGGCTGTCTTTTCTCCAATGTATGTTTTTGGCTCCTTAGTATTGTATCAGATGACTGTGTTCCTGGAATTTTTCTCCAAGTCTTCTGATATGTATTGTTGGTATACGTGTATGGGGATTGCCTTGAGCTCGTATATTGCTTTTGTAGTATGACTATTTTAATGATATTCTGCCTATCCTTAAAAAGGATATCTTGTATCTTCTTCAATTTGTTTCTTCAGTATGCTATAATTTTCATTGTAAAGGTATTTAACCTCCTTCGTAGATTTATTCCTAGGTATTTTTTTTAGGCTGTTGTGAATGGGATTGTTTTCTTGGTTTATTTCTCAGCAGATTCATTATTGGTATATAAGAAAGGTATTGAGGGGCTGGGGATGTGGCTCAAGTGGTAGCGCGCTCGCCTGGCATGCCTGCGGCCCGGGTTCGATCCTCAGCACCACATACAAAACAAAGATGTTGTATCCGCTGATAACTAAAAAAGAAATATTAAAATTCTCTCTCTCTCTCTCTCTCTCTCTCTCTCTCTCGTTATAAAAAAAAAAGAAAGGTATTGATTTTTGTATGTTGATTTTGTAACTTGCTACTTTGGTGAATTTGTTTATTAGCTCTAGCAGTCTTCTGGTGGAGATTTTTGGATGTTCTAAATATAAGATCATATCATCTGCAAACAGGGATAATTTAACTTCTTCCTTTCTTATT